CACTCCCCATAAATTATCAAGGGTGCGTAAGACGCTTATATATTTTCAAGATTTTTTAGTTTAGATCAAATTACAATTTGATTGTAAGACTCCAATTGGAGTTCTTTAAAAAGGAATTATTATGAAATTATATATTACTTTGTTTGTGTTGATTGTTTTTTAGATAGGTTTACACAAGATGACTATAATCTTCTATCATGTTTTAGTACATTATCCCCCTTTGACCCTGATTATATTATATCAGATTAAATGGCCCATTAGAATCATTATTAAACTTAAATATGGAAACGTTATATCATGAAATAAAAAAATAAAGGATTATTAGCTGCAGAAGTTACAGAAATATATAATTTTAAAAATATCCTAAATATTATATATAAAAAAAAATATCATCAACCATTTAAAATTGTATAAATGCTACTCAGCAGCCATCATCATTAGGGTATCAACGACTTCTTGTGTGACCTCAATATCTACACTAAAAAGAGTTCTATCGAGCACTAAGAGAATTGATGAAAGATCAACGTAAGCAAATTTTGTATTGATGGCTTATAAATAAAAAACACAAAATTTATCCGTTAATTCATTTATGCTAAAATTTAAAAAAAAAATCGTCGTATTATATAGTATTATTTTGTATTCATTATACATTAATAAATTTTTAATAAAAATAGCAGAAAATTTATATGAATGCTTAATTATTTCTAATACAATCAGACATTCCATTTTTATTGTTTATATATTTTTATATTAAATAAATTATTTTTATATTAAAAAATTCATTTTTGTTTAAAAAACATAGTAAAAATGTTTAAAATGGACGAAAAATTAATGTTACTTTAAGTTACACAAATAAATATAATGATTACAGAACCTTGTCGTTTTATTTTAAAAATGGGAGATATGTTATATAACATAACACTATTTGTAACTTTCTGCCTAACTCTGCACATAACTGCATACATTAATCAATTTTTTGCCGACTTATTAATAAATTGTGATATAACATTTAGTAAATTTGAGATATATAAAAAAAGGCTGCGGGCAAATATGGGACACGATTAATTGGAAGCATTTTTATTGAGCCCGTTGAAAAATAATTATTGGTGCAAATAGAACTTGAATATTTGTTTATTTGCGCCAAAGTTGAGTGTAAGTATATACGAGATATATTGCTTAAAAATTAATAATATTCGGAAACTATACTTGCAATATGTCTGATTTTATATGTATACAATAAGTTATAAAATCGGTGCAGCAATATGTAATAATGTAATATATGCAATTATTGTCGTGATGACGTTGAAGAAATGATGTGATGTCAATTATTATAATATATATGTTGTGATGACGTTGAAGAATGATGGGATGTCAATCAATATATAGTATATGTATATGTGAATCTTATTCATCAAATAAAAGATAATCTTTAAAAGAAATACTTAATCAAATACAAGATAATCTTTACAATTATTATTATTTTATATGTGTAATATATATTTTATTATATGCACAATGATAAGTATGTTTTAATAAGTTCAATTAACATGATTTGATATGTGCAATTCCTATAATAAAATATTGGATTATAAATTTAATTTAGATTTTTAAAAATAAAAATGTGATAACTGTAATATTGTGTTGAACTCATCGGTTTAGACATTTTGTACAAAAATACAAGAAATAATAAAAACATGTATAATATATATAAGCCATAGGGTTCTCGGCTGAAGGTCGGATAAAAGCAGGCCGAATGTCTGTAAATAGAAATATGGGGGCAAAGCCCCAATATAAATGAGGTCACTAAGAATATTTCGCCACGAGTCCGCAGCATTGGCAGTCCGCATCAGGCTTCCTAGACATCAATCAAGTACGAAAATCACTTAGACAAACTACCATACCGATTCACATTCCGATTGCGGAAATTGCGGACGCTCATGGGAAGAATTCTATCCAAACTTCTATGCAGCACTTCATTCTTTAACCAGAAACCCTCCCTCATAATGTGTCCCCTCCTTTTATCCCCCCCCCCCTAAATTCTCTCACGATTATAATATTTTATCTTACACTTATACACGTTATTTACTCGTAAAATTTCAGGCACCAAAAGGTAATCGATGAGAATTTAAAGACCCCTGCATAATTTATTATATATGACTACAATCGATTACTTTTCTAATTTTCACCAGAATGGGTGCCTTAAATTTCATTCGTTATATTTTCCATTGTAATAAATATAAATAATGTGTTGTATTAATTAGCAAATATGTAATTAGAGAGAAATTATAGAAATAAAATAAAGATTGATATGGATAGTTGGAGCGTACCAATCGAAAGCACCCATGGGGTCTTGAGGGAGTCTTTGTGCTCTCAGGTCCTGTTTTAATTTTTAACACAATTTTCAAGGATATATGGTTTCGTTTCGTAATTATCTAAATTTTAAGTATCTTTTTTATCTGGATATCCTTTTTCAATATTTTTAACAAGTATCTATATCTTGCATCTTATGAAACTTTTTAAAAAGTATTTTGTATCTGTAACAGTGGTCCAATATATTCTATTTATTTCTATATTCAGTACAATACCATATATATATATATATAAACACCATTAGACCTCAATCATGTTTATTACCCAGGGGCGTCGCTAGCCTTTACACTCTTAGGGGGACTAACTAAAAAAATTTTTAGGGGAGGGGGGCATTTTCCAGTTTACGGGCCTTCGACCCACTTTTGCCCGACCTTCGGCCGGGTTTTTTATTAATATATTATACTTTTTATAAATTAGTTAACTTTTTTTTTAAAGATCAGTCATTTCTTTTATTTTTTTAAAAAATTATATATATTTAAAATATGTAAACTATTTGTAAAATAAAATTTATATAAAAACTATTTGTAAAATAAAATTTATATAAAAACTATTTGTAAAATAAAATTTATATAAAAACTATTTGTAAAATAAATTAAATAAAATAATAATTAAACATTTAATTAGGTATGATCAACGGGCTTATAGACCCATGTATGGATATGCAGTTAGAACGGCAGATTTCAGTTGATATTTTCTGTCGAAGGTAGAAGCCTACTTTTGGGTCATCTATGATTAAGCGTAACCTTTGCCCTATTGTTTTGAATAATTTTAGGGCTTGGGGTTCAAATGATCCACAGGTATCTGAGACTACCGGAACAAACAAAACATTATTAAGGTTGCTATATTTGTTTGTTTTTGTGTTTCTTTCGTGATAGAGTTGGAAGAAAAAGATCTGGCAAAACGATCCACGCAAGTATAATCCAGGCGAGAGGTAGACCTTGGTTCCAAGGGACTAGCATCATATCATCTGGTCTGGTTTGATTGTCGTGGCTGAGGCCAGATGGTTCCAGGGTGGAGGGAATATTTGAGGATTTCAAGGTCTGTTGATGATTGAATTGATAGCATGGTCTGAAAAATTATTCGGAATTTTAATTTTCTCATTTATTATATTATGCATACAAAACAAACTGGCATAATTAAAACAATACAAGACATTTATAAAAATAAATTTTTTTTAATACAAAATCTATTTATTACAGTATAAAATATTTTCGATTGCTAATGCGTCTAAAGAATTACAAGTGATAAAAAAGATTAATAACTCATACATATGCCTCAATTGATAATAGTTTTTAAAAACCACATAATGCAATAATATAATTCTTAGCAACTTACATTGACAAAATGTTATCAAACTAATATAACTCTTTGTTACCATTTTACACATTTATAGAATTGACTAATAAGAAAAAATTTATAGGCCTAAACCAAATCAACAATTCTTGAAGAAGAGAGTATAAACGACCAATCCAAATCATAAAACTATTAAGTGATTAGAGCTTCCTTTTAGATGACATGATGGTAGCTAGATAAGTAATCGATAAAATTATTATGAGATATTAAATTTCTAAAAGATTATCGTCCATTTTAAATGATATATAATATATAAACCACACAGTTGACCATTATTGTTTATCTAAAATATACAATCATATGTTCTCAGCCGCTGTAGTAATAATCTTAAATTACATAGCAATACAAATAATAGATGCTGGTTAATATGCAGTAATAGCCATGACACTCACGATGTAAACTAGTATCAGAATATGTTGGATAAATTGATAAAATAAAAACACTAAAAATTTTGGAAGAAATAATTGTGCAAATATATTGAAGCCTTGAGTTTTTTACACAGCAAGGATGCCATATTAGATGAAACATTTTGGAACTATAAAATAAGGACTGTAATGATATGATGAAACAATTAAGAATTTATATATTGTCGCACCACCTCTAGTTGGTATATTATATCTTAAAATATAAGTAGTTTGTAAAAATATCAAAAATATACTTGTATTAAAAATTTAACTAAACTGTTTCTTGAAAAAGAAAAAAAATACACTTAACGTAAAAAAGAAAAGATATCAAATTTATTACATCTATTGTAGGATGAATAAATTTGTGTTTAATTTTTAACACTATTTATAACTAAATAGATAGCGTTAAATACTTGAAAGCAAATTAATACTATATTTATTATCAAAAGCATTTATTAGTAAAATTCATTATAATATTAGCTGTAATATATTATAACTATCAAATACGTCTCTAAAAGTGGCATTTTATTTAGTATTTTATAATCAACTGTATATAATAGAGGATAATAAACTATATGTCTTCTTACTTTTTATTATACTTATTTGGACCTAGAAAATATTTTTAGGAATAGGTACAATGACATGACATTGAATAGGTATGATAATAAAATTTAAAAATAAATATACAGTTGATTAGTCATTTTCAACTCTGCTAATTACAATATTAAATTTTTTAGTTTTAAATTATAAATGATTTTATTTATTTATTTAGGGCTATAAAATAATCTATATATATAATCTTCAAAAAACGTCAATCAAATTTAGCCAATAGTTTTCTTTTAAAACATATTTGTCCAATAAAAATGATTATAGTTTAATCGGTCCAATAGTAATCACCTTACCAAAAGCTCAGCATTCATACACTTATTCACATATCAAAGCAATGGTATCCAGCAACCAAGTATAATTTTTTCAGTTCTTATATATAATTATATTATTTTTATTAGATTTTTCAACAAAACCCAAATACCAATATAAGAAAAAACAAACCAAGTTAAAAAGCAGAATAAGCAAAATGCATTGTTACCATCATTCCAGAGGTATGTGATGCTATATGGAAAACTTTAAAAGATATTCATATGCCAGTTCCAACTAGAGAACATTGGGAGAAGGTATTATAAATTTAGATATATTAATATATTTTTAGATTGCACAAAAATATTTTGACCTGGCTCATTAGATGGTAAGCACTTTTTATCAAAGTATATTTTTAATATTAATAAATAGTTTTTAATTATTTTAGAGTTAGAAAAACCAATATCAAACACTTTAAAAAACTATGAAACCATATCCTATGAAAAATACCAGTCCGGAAGCAAAACATTATAAGTTAAGTAGTGATTGAATGCACATTTGGCATACTGATAAGTTTGCCATTAATTCTAAATCTATAAAGTGTTCAGTTGAAAATGCCTGTAAAATATATTATTGATTATGAAAAATTCAAGAGGAATAAGATATTTATTTAAAGACTATTTTAATTCTTGAATTTATGTATAAATTTAACATTTGATATCATTATATATTAAACTAGCTGATAGCCCATCAAGATTAATGGGGAATAATTTTCTCCTTTATTCAATGATGGATAATTAGAAATTTTCCTATTTAATGGGATCTTATTCAGAAATTTATTTATTAAGATCAGGGGTTATTTTAAAATTTTTCTAAAATTGCAAATAAATGAATAAAAATTTAGTTCAAATGATTATTTATTGTGCACATAAATTAAAATTACTAATGATGGGCTAAATATAATTAGCACTGCCTAACCTACTATTGACTCTTAACCAAGTTCAAGAATCTATGAGTCATAAGTATGGATTCTTCCTTTTATCTGACTATTTTAATTTTTAATTTTTATAGGTAAATTTTAACTATATAGATGAATAACAATAAAAAATACAAATTCTCTTTCACCTAATAATCCTATCCTTTCAATAAAAGAGGTAACCTTATTTTCCATATAATTTTTAATTTAATATTCATTTTTTTTTAAATTCAACCAATAAAGGATATATAATAATTTGTTCTATTAAGCACTAACAAACCTATCATTGAACCCTTAACCAATACAAAAAATTTCATGACTCAGTTATATATTTTTCATTTTATCAGACTTTAGATTTTTATAAGTAAATTTATACCCTATTTTTTTGTGACATAATAATTTACTATGTTATTTATATATTAAGTTATCTATATTATTTTATATAGATAAGAATATAAATTCTCACATACCTAGGAATCCTATCTTTTCAAAAAAATATGATATTCTTTTTCATACATTAATTTTAAGATAAGTCAATTTAAATTATATCTCACAACAGAGAAAAGATCAAATTCAATAATATAAAATTTACATCTATTATTCTATTCAAACAAAATAATTAAATTACTCATTTGCTTTCAACTATTCTTTTGTAAAAAGTTAAATTTAAAAAAATTAATATTTTAAATAGCAATAAATAATAATTAAACAAAATATAAAACCATTTTAGAAATGAGAATAGTTAGAGGCAAATGAATAATATAATCATTTTGTTTGTATAGATGTAAATTATATTTTTAAATTTGATCCTTTCTCTGTCTCTGTTAGATTTAATTGAAATGGACTTATCCTAAAATAAATAGAAAATAAGATTGGATTCCTAGGTATATTGCTTATCTATATAAAATAATATAGATAATTTAAAAAATATATAAATAACATAGTAAATTAATATGTTACGCAAAATTAGGGTATAAATTTACTCATAAGATGAAGTAGCTATTGTTGTAATATTTATATTATAGAACTGTCTGTCAATCCTTGTATTTTTATATATTATATTCTAAACTGTCAATCATGATATAATATATATATTATGAGATAGAGTCTGTATTTTATATATTCGATCAACTTGCAAAACCAACTCTTTTGTTGTATAAAAGTCATGTATATATATTATTAAATTTGATGTGTACAAGCTCGAAAATGGCTGATGTTAAATCGTTTCATATATTTTCCTCAATAGATACATGTTATGTTCTACCTCCCCCCCCCCCCTTGTCCCGTACAACTTATTTCTTTTTTTCTCCACTTGTTTCTTTTGTTTTCCCATCTTCCTTTATTTTGTTATGAAATTGATAAATTTTACCTTATTTTTATATTGCATTTGAAACTGGTTCTTACCAGTTTCATGAATGATTGTATCGCGATTAAATAACAACTTTTTTTTTCCTCTTTGTTTTAAAAATTATAAAGGTTGAAAACAAAACACCTTTTAGATCATTAATTATTTTCGTTCGTTTTGTAAATTGAAATTTTTTTTGTAATTTTACTTTGTTGAATAAACTTTGAAAATATTATTTTAAATACGTTGTCCAAGTGATTCCAGGACTAAATCGATAAAACCCGGCCCCCTGATCCCGTCATCGACCATCCCAAAGTATAAATTCAACATTGAAACGTTCGGAAGAAAATAACATAATAAAGAAAATAGATCCTTCAACAACAAGAGCAACCTGGAGTACTCCTATGGTAGTATGTAAAACTTCAAGGGAACTACGATTATGTGGAGATTTCAAAGTAACGTAAAATAAATTTCTACTAAAAGACTATCACATTCTACCAACGTTTAAAGAATTAATCGCATAGATCGCTAATGGAAATAAGTATACAACACTTGATCTCAAAGACGCATATTTACAAATGAGTATTGTCGAAGAATTATTAACAATGGCAACACCATAGGCGTAGCCAGGATTTTCCGGGGGGGGGGAATAAAAGTTACTGGGGGCTTCGCCCCCAGACTCCATTTGGGCGGGTCTTCAGCCCGTTTTTGCCCAGCCATAGTCATAAAATATTTTTACAAGATAGGTTAATTAATAAAAAAAAATAAGCCTGGAACAAATACGAAATATATTTTTATTAGTTTATATAAAATTTAATAATAAAATCCAATTACCTCAGCTTCATATTCTCAATGACTGATACCCCCTAATCACAGAATCGGCGATGAGAAGAGCAATTAAGAACAAGAGAGAGATATTCAGATGGAAGTCAACAAAAGAACCAAACCCTAATCACAGAATCGGCGATGAGAAAAGCAATTAAGAACAAGAGAGGAATATTCAGATGGAAGAAGAAAAACTGAAGCTCAAACTATGAAAACTCATAATTCTTTTATATCATATGCTCAATTTATTATATTAATTTACTATATATTTATTTATATTATTTAAATATATTATTATTAAACCTTAAAAGATATACTAACAAATGTGATTATTTTTTAAATTGACATATTAATGCCGCTAATATAATTGATTTAATAAATTACTTGTATATCATTAATATAAAATGATGGTAATAATTTATTACAAACAAATCTAAGTAATATATTTATAAAAAGTAAGTAAACATATAGTTGATATTCCTCTATTATATAGAATTAGTTAAAAAATACTAGGTAAAATTCCACTTTTACAGACATATTAGACAGTTAGTAAATATATTACAGTTAACATTTTAACAAACTTCACTAATCAATGCTCTTGATAATAAATATAGCAACAATTTGCATTCAATTATTTAACGCCATCTATTTATTTTAAATTAAAAATGATATTAAAAATTAATCTTTATATATTCATCCCACAATGTCTTTAAAAGATATTTTCTGATGTCCTTATCAATATTTTATAGTTTTCTGTAAAATATATAATTCGCTATATTGGTAAAAATTATTTGATTGTCATATGATAATTGATAAAATTAGATATACTGTAAATCTACGACATATAATATACCACTGTTAGTATTGTGCTTTAATTTTTTAAATTTAATTTATGATTTAATTTTATCAAGAGCTTTATAATTTAATTTTACTTTTACTAAGATAAATAAATTAAAATTACTCACTTTATAAAAATTATATTTGATATATTATATAATTTAGTAATTTTATGGATCTATTATTAATAATTATAATACATTTCACTTTTGTCTTAAGACTTATCTTTGGATTATATTCCATTTCTTAAAAAACATTTTTGATTCACTTTTTATATATATATATATATAAATGCTTTTTTCCAAAAATGTATTAATTATGATGAATAGTTTTATAAAAAAATATCAACTTTTACATTCTTTCTTTCAAATTATTGTTTAAGATATATGCATAGGGAGTGGGGAGGGGTACTAAGGGGGATATTTTTTATTAGCTTAAAATGATATTCACAAAAAAATGTTAAATTTATAAGGGGAGATTTCCCCTTGCCCCCCCCCCCCCACGACTACGCCTATGGGTAACATCAAATGGATACTACCGCTATTTACGATTACCTTTTGGTTTAGCTACAGCACCAATATTATTTCAACGATATATTGACGATTTACTGGCTGTCTGTAAAGATCAGCAGTTTATTTAGATGATGTTATAATCATAGGAAAAAATGATACATAACATATTGAGAATATAAAACAAGTCCTTAAAAAATTACAAAATGCGGGATTAAAAGTCAAAACAAGCAAAATAAATTTTATGAAAAAATAGCCAGGGGCGGACAGGGAGCTTAAAGGCCTCGTGGAAGATATTTAAGAAAGGCCCCATATAAGATTTTATTTGAAATCTAATATAATATACAAAATTTAAAATAATTTTTATTTTTTTAATATTTATGCATATGATTATTTTAAAAGAATTACTCGTCCTTTGAGTTGAATACATTATTCTTCATTGATTTTAATCTTCCCATATTTTTATATATTAGAAATAAATTTATATTATAATTCTTATTATTTCTTGTAAAATATTAACTAAATCTTAATTGTTTTATATATATTTTTATTTGTATGTAAGGCTGAGAAAAAAAATCAGTTAACAAAATATTTATAGTACAAAAAAATAAAATATTGTTAAGAATTAAATAAAAGCTCTGGAATATTTTAATAATAAACGAAATCTAATATAAAAATGTAATATATTTTGAAAAAAAGAAGTTGCGCACCGCTCAAAATCAATAGCATTTAACATTTCAATAACATAATATATATGTTTAAAATTGGTGCACCCTTTTGAAAATGAATTTTCATAACCAGCAAAAGCTATACAAATTGATAAGTAATTAGCTTTAATTTAATGATTAATTATAGCAAATGAAAGCCAATTTCGTGGTACTTTATCTTCCATAACTACTCTATAATATAAACACGATGTATTTAGGGTCAGGTACACAGGTTGGATTGGATGTTGCTGTAAAACGTTTCCCTAACTTTCATATAAAAACCTTTCATGTAAAAAATTGCGACTGAGAATAATTGTGAC